GCTTGACGAAGTTTGAAGCCCATCGTGGTCCCACGCGTGGCGCGCCACGGTCTCGGAGCAGGCGATTCGCCATGTCTCCAACCTCACCCAGCCGGGGAGGGTAAGATCGCGCATCTAGGTCGAGGACATACTCGACAATCGTCTTTTCTTCTAGCTCCGTCAATTTCGCAGAATTGCCGCCCGCTGAAGCTCACAAGCGACGGGCCAAATCAAAGAGGCGGCCAGGACCCACTTCCCAGGCAACGCAACGGTTTCCCTTCCGTGCAACATTTCCCCGTCCACGCAACGCTTTCCCTTCCATGAAACGCTTTCCCTTCCACGCAACGCTTTCCCTTCCACGCAACATTTTCCCTTCCACGCAACGCTTTCCCTTCCACGCAACGCTTTCCCTTCCGCGCAACGCTTTCCCTTCCGCGCAACGCTTTCCCTTCCACGCAACATTTTCCCTTCCACGCAACGCTTTCCCTTCCACGCAACGCTTTCCCTTCCGCGCAACGCTTTCCCTTCCACGCAACGCTCCCCCGTCAAAGCAACGCTTTCGCTTCCGCGCAACGATCGAGCCTCTTCGATGCGACGCTCAATCAACGCGACGGATCCCGTCAACGCGACGCTACGCTCAGTCAATCACACATACTCTCAGCACCCTCGCGCGACTAGCGACCCCGTCCAGCACTTGCGAGTCTCCTCTCGACCACGGATACGAGATCGGAGCTTGCTATCATGGAACCCGTGCTCTGCATTTGTGGGCAATTCTACACAGCAAGTGGCCACAGAAGTCATCGGAAGAAGGCGCACTTTCGTTGCTGCGAAACTATCTTCGTACCACCACAACACAACAGGCCAAAACGGTGAAGAGGTTAGTGTCGAACGATATTCCGTTCCAGGCCGACGGTGTGTCCCGACCCACTTGGGCACCGCTGTCGTGTATATATTACCCGGACCTTCGTCCTCTTAACCTGAGCAGTGATCAAGGCCAATACAACCAGTAAATCTCACATTTTGACAGTTAGCACATGGACAAAGAGACAATCTCGTTATCGCGAGAACGTAGAGTGCGCGCGCGGGTGCGGGTCGACTCTCCAACGTGACAGGATGAAAAGACATCACAAATCAGAACACTATGTGCATCGAGTGCGGTCGAATATTCATCTCCATCGGCAAGAAAGAGCACGAGCACAGCACTAAATACGCCTCTTACATGGTGGTTCCTTTGCTTGACCGGGAGCAGCCAGGTGCTGTTGCGGAGACATCGACACAGAGGACATACGAGCCACAATGCCTCGCGAGAGCATTGAGACTGCCCAAATGCGCAACAAGTATGGTTCCCTGATTCAAGATTTGCTTCGACAATGCCGGAACTCAAAAGGTTCCCAGCCCAGCCACACAAGGTGGGATGATAGCTTGGCACTCCTAAACCGGATCGTCCCTCCTGATCGCGACTTGCCGATCGCACGAATCGGACCCATATCAACGGTGGCCGACGACGCAGGCGTTTGGTATACTAGAGAAGATGACAGAGAACCTCATGGACCAAGGCTTCGATCTTGCAGAGACCCACGGCGGTGAGATCAGGCCAACTAAGACAACGAGGCCAGGGACTGGACCAGTAATTAGAGCAGTGCTCTTAATAGTGCCACCAGTGCGTGTGGACACCTCAAACTGCTCAAATAGTGCGTGTGACTCGGCCGCACTAAACCACCAGTCCGTTTGACTCGGCCACACTAAACTACCAGTGTGAAAGCAATGCCGACACTGCACTATTGGTCCGTGTTGAATTGACACACTGCACAGCACTGGCAACTATGGTGTGCACTATTAGTGCAATCACCTTAGAGGCAGCTACCCTACATATGCTAGATAGTGGGTACCCATCATCCCACCTATGTGTAATGGCATGACTAGTATCTTCTAACATCACAATATCTGCAAACATCACCTCCCAAGTTGTTGCAACTATTCCGGTTGGGAGAGCGGCTACACAGTTGAGATTTAAAGCAACAATACGTAGGGCTGCTCTTGAATATACAGCTGTGCATACCTGAGCTCTGCTCTCGAGGCGTACATGCCGACGAGTGCGATAGTTTCAGTTGGCAAGTACCTGCTGTGCAGACGCCATCTGGTTGCATACGCTGTATCCGCTAACTTTCCTTAACACTTCGCCGAAATTATTCGCGACGCGTGCTGGCGCGTCCCGTCGCGTGCCGTGGCGCCACGCTCTGAGCCGCCACGGGCCATAAATTCGAAACTGGCTGCTCCGCCTGTTGCGGCCTGGGCGCACTAATAGTGCAACTATTAGTGTGAGATCCTCGCACTGAACTACTGGTCCGTGTAGTCGAGCTGCACTGAACCGTCAGTGTAGTGCGAGAGCCTTGCACTGAACCATCAGTGTAGTGCGGAAAGCCTACACTGAACCAATAGTCCACGCACTATTAGTGTGCACTGCAGTGTGCACTAATAGTACAGTTCATGGTCCGCACTATTAAGAGCGCTGAATTAGAGACTCTAGCCGATCATTTTGGAGGAGGCACCGTGGACGTCTAAGACTCTAGTACTACGAACAAAAGCCCCGTCTCCTTGTCTATCTACGAAGTTATCGACCGAATCAGAGAAGGGACGGAGTTTCAGGCAGGACGACTTCCAATAAACCTGCTTGTAACGGGCTAGGCCCCGCTGGACAAGGCAGTGCTTGCCGGCCCAAGCGCTGTTGCCGCGGCGAGGACTTAGTCTATTTGTTGAAAGATTTCTGTCCTTCTCTTTTCTTTTCCTTCTTTCTTTCCTCGGCTCGAATGTAAAACGAATGAGGACGACATAGCTGTAATTTACACTATTAGAACCCTTCACATGTATTGCCAAATTGCCCCTGGATAATGAAAGTTCGCGACGAGCATCGGCGCAACCAACAACAACTTGGCCAACCACTGTTCCAACCTCGCTTTCTTGATGACGTCGCTATAGTGCACGGCGAGGGCCAAAACTCATCATCATCATGCACACACCGCTCCATGGTTCGCCAGCGCACAGCCAGAGTCAGCAGTACGAATATCATGTCATAGAGATACATCCTTCGGACTGTATTACACCCTCCCCACCTCCGGTGAGGGTGTCAGCATATTTTACCAACTTCAAGTAGTGTGAGAAACTTGATCGGACCAGTCGAAGCATGTCCGCCGTTGCTTATTGTCGCCGTTCCGTGATTGCGCCAGCCGCGCCCGCCACCGGTAAGGCCGGCGAAGGCAGAAAACACTCAGCACACAGGCAACACAAGGGAAGCTCAGATCAGGAGCAGGCGACTCAAAAATACCATTACACTGTTGACACTATTTGGGGGGGGGGGGTTGGTTTGTGCAAAGACGCGCGGCCAAATGGGCCAACACTACCCAAGATCGGGAAGACCAGCGCACCCTGTACTACCCTTCTGCCCGGCACGCCATCCATCCGGCAGAAAACGGGTTGAACAAGTCGATGGCTTGCAGTTGCTCAAGTATTGTAACAGGCAAGACAATGATTTGAGAGATGAAGCAAAGGGTAGTTATCCTCGATTATTGCGTATGGCTCACAGCCACCGCAAAATTGTCCGCCTGCAAAATGACAATGTGAGGGCCACGCCGACGGCGGCGAAGAAGAACAGGTTGGAGTGGCGGCCCAGTGTAATCATGAGGCGACCGTCGTACGAATGCCAGGACGAGCTGCCCAGGTGATCAAAGATGGGGGTCGTTACCCGGCCGTTGAGGCTATGCATAGGACCAGGCAAGATCTTGAGAGCGGTACGGTTCGCCTGCCGCGCGTGGATTACGGACGCGAAGTGGCAGCCCGTGCTGAACATGACGGTCGGGTACGGGAGTCCCAGCCAATGGTGGTCATATGCGGTCAGGTTCCGCACGATGTCGCCAACGAAGGCGTTATGCTGGCTGGCCATCATGAATCCGATGCTGAAGCCCGTGGGTTGCGCCTCTGCCGCCACGAATTCGAATCGGCGCAAAGGACCCAGTGTCCGCCTGCATTTGAGGTCCATGTCGAGGATCACACCGCCGTACTCGTATAGCACCATGTACCGCAGAGCGTCGACGCGTTCGACCAGGTACGAATAATTCTCCCACGTCTCAAACACGTCCGGAAACTTCTCAGCAACGAAGTTGGCCGCCGTCTCGTCTGTCCACATGTGCGCCTCCCACCCGTGGTGCATGTCAATGCAGCTCTGCACTGTCGTCTCCCACTGATCCCTCCAGCGGCTGCCACGCTGGCCCAAGGCGATGTGATGCAGCAATGGTGGCACCAAATTTTCGTACGGCGCCGCGGACACCTGGTATTTATCGTAGTCGAGGAAGGTGATGTCAAAGTCGTCGTGCGCCTTGGACAGTATGAAGTCGTCCGCACCGCCATGCCAGGTGACACGCAGTGCGGCAAGTGACCAAGTTGTGTAGAGCAGGTCACGGAAGAAGAAAGCAATGGCGAGAAGGGCGAGGACAGTGAAAGCGACGGTGCGTATCCGCTTGGCAAACATGGCGTGCTGCAGGAAGGGATGCCTGGCCACGGTGCCGTCGAGGTTCGAACGTGTGAGACACCGATGAACGTATCAGGACCTTAGGCAGCCACGTCCATCGCCCCGTGGGTTTGTTTCGAAGCGGACATAGAGATGGGATACTTGGCCTCGCGATGCGGCAGGTCGCGACGCAGCACTTGCACGACGATATGGCGACGAAAAGTGGCGAACAGTAGGTGCGGAACAGTGCTTTCGAAGGATGAGGAGGAGGAAGAGGAGCACCGTGGGCCGCTGGTGTCTGGATGGCGGCGCGCTATTTAGAGCCAAAAGGGTTGTTGCAACCGTCTTTGAGCCCCACACACAATTCTTTCCCGAATTCGGAAGTACATACGGCTACTCAAGCGTGGGCGACTTGATGCTACACTATCGAAAAATTTGCCTCCCGAGCTAGCTCAGCAGTGATGGAGCGTTCGTTCTGGCGTTCGGTCTCGGTCCTTATCGCCGCAGATGGTAGGCATGCCGAGTTTAGGAAGGAAGGTGCGCAATGCTTCCTGGGGTGTTACAGTAAAAAGCGTCAACGGTTTCGCACTGTGATCAGGTACCGATTTTAGTGGGCCTGTCGTTTCTGCCATTTTTGGCTATCTGCTTGGATGGGCTGAAAGCAGCTCCTTGTTAATCCGAATATGCCGGTAACATTCCGGACATCGCTGTCAGAAAGTTTGCACGATCCCCAGGCAGATGACTTGCTCGTTTGTCTCCGTAAAGGAGCCACTACACTTCGGGCGCACTCTGACGTCCTCTCGTTCTGGTCTGGCTACTTTAAGGCCCGTCTATCAGATCGATGGACAAAAGATAATGACGCCACGCCAAACATCAAGCTAATGGACGATTTCTCTGCCGAAGCCGTGAGGAGAGTGTTTGGGGGCTTTTGCTATTCCGGTGTCTATTCCGAAAAGAACGAAGAGGCCACGGCTGAGGACTTCTTACTTGCTGACTATTACATGATCGACATACTCACAGAGCACTTGCAGTCCGTGGAGCAAGCGAGACAAGCCAGCCCCGACCAGCACATACCCGATGGACCGCGTGGTGCGCAGGGCACTCGCACCCCAACGCCGCCCGTTTAAACGCCCGAAAACTGCCATTCACATGTTCGAGGCCTGCCCTGGTCGCTTCGGCGCCTTTCGCATATGTGATTTCTGCTCCGCCCCTGATGTGGGCTTCGAGCACGACGACCAACGAACGCCGACGACGCGGAGAGCTTTCCATCTACGGACCGTGTAGCCCCCGCCTTGCGTGCCGCTGCCCCAATCGTCACCGGATCGCGCGGCCGGGCACCATAACCACCGCACGAGCCGATGCGAAAACCTCACATGCTGGTGAGGTGCACACCGAGCGGACAGGGACAAGCAGGCCCGCGTGAATGAAAGAGCCTGGATATCTAGCAATGGCCTGGTGCAGCGGCACCGTCCCACAGCAAGAGCCGCGTGGTCGTGCCGCAACAGCAGCCCTTCCGCCACTTTGTGCGCGGTATATATCTCCTACAAAGTTGACATGTAGCAGTCAGCAGATCCATCGATTTTCTCTCTATCGCCTCGTAGAACTTGCCAGGAATAATGAATGAAATTGATGCATCATGAACGTAGCTTGCCATGTCCCGGGATGTCCACCCATGCCTCTGTCTCATATGCCTCTGCCAGGCGTCTTTATGCGCTGTAACGGGCTGGGCCCGTGTGAGTCTCGGCTCCGCTCTCGACCGGGATCCACATCGGCTCCGGAACTCCCTTTAAAAGCTCGTGTTCTATTCTCGAACTTTCTTCTTTCTTTTCTTCCTTTCTTTTCTCCTCAGCTTTAGGATACTCGTTGCAGTCGCTCAGCTAGTTGTCAACACACTCAGTGAGACCGTTACAACTATTGGCAGGCTGCGGGAAGGCAACAAGAAGGATGCGTCCGTCATTATGAAATATAGATCCTCTGTCAACTGCTCATCCGCAACTTGAAATATTGCCCATTTCCAACGCAACCACGGAGGTCCGTTCAATATGACTCTTGGACCATGTCCGTCCAGGCTTTCAACTGTCTCAGGATTTCGGAGCCCTCAATGTCCTCAACGGTTACCGCGGTTCCAAGCCACGCCGCTACGCCTTCGTCATCCAAATCCTCTATCCCGTCATCCATCATGGACTCAATGAGCTGATTCCGAAACTTGATGGTTTTCGAGTAGAAGAGACCGATAATGGTGTCGTAGATGAGCCTGCCATACTGGCACTTCGTGCCATGGCAGTTTTCCCATCCGCCGCCAGCCCGCCTCATCCACGCGTTGCAGAAATCCCGGGGCATAGCGTAGTCAGGGCAGCCTCCAAGAGCCCGGAAACCCTCCTGGAAGATGGCCTCGCCGAGCTCTTTTCTCAAATGTTGCTTTCCCCCGCTTTCGCAGCTCCGCAGGCTGTGTGATACCTGCTGACCTTTCCACCCTCGGCCGACGCAATGAGCGCACTTGTCCTTCCACCAGTCGACTGCCTTGGCCCAGTCGGTAGCTTCTTCCTTCGTTCCCCAGCGAGTCGCTGTGTCGTTTATGCTGTCCTTGGAGGCAAGATCGCTGTCCAAGTCACGTTCGCGACTGTCTCTCCGCCGACGGCCCCGCTGGCTTTTCAAGAAGTCGAACGCCGACACAAGCACGCCAAAGACCACCAAAATCTGAGGAATCCACCTTGATCCTAAGCTGTTTTGCCGTTCAAACCATTGGCGTGCCGCGTGTTCGCAGTCAAGGTTAATACCATCCCTATCGGAAGCCACCCTCGCCAGGACTTTACCGAGGATCCGGCCATCCCAAGCGCAGAGAGCCGCGATTGTCATTCGTACACTCTCCTTGTTACCGCAAAGGCCGTCCGGGCCGTTGACAGCATCGCGTATAGCACGCCAGTGGTTCTTCACTTCATCTGTGCTCGCGTCGGAGATCTGTAGATTGATGCGCACTTCTCTACAGATATCATTGGTTGCGTGGCAGAGGCTGCAGAGCCCAACCGCAAAACGGTCGAGTTGCAGGGTATGCAACCACTCTAATAAGTCACGGGCCCTTTCGCTGCCCGGCTTTGTGCAGTCGCTCAGGTCGTGGTCAGGGCGGTCATCGTTGGCAAAGCAAAGTTGACAACCCGCAGTCCGCCACTTTCGTATTTGTTCTCCGAGGCGGCTCACGGTCAATCTGGTTTTCAACGTATCTTTGGTGTTGTCGTTGCAATCATCGAGATGTTCCGGAATCAGACGACGTTCGCGCAGCTCACTTGCTGTCGCAGGGTCGCCGAGTCTGCCAAATGGTGCCTGTGCAGTGGATGCAGTTTCCGGTGACCCCGTCAACCCAGGCCCCGATGCCAGAATCCCATCATGGCGGTGACTCGAATCCTTGCCGGCTCTACCGACTGACCCCGGACAAGATCGCTTTGTCATACCACGTTCGCCCTTTGTTGGTAACGATTCACCACGACGTCTCTTCGCCGTGACCCCTGTGTCCCGAATGCAGATGTCGTGCTCCAAGCTCGCCATTTCGGACCCAACTTCTTTCAGTCGACTCTCCACGGGCTTTTGAGTTAGGTGGCTCGGCAGGTGTAGAAACTCATGCCATTTGGACGAAGCCCACTGATACAGCTCTAGAAGTTGAGGCTGTAACTTGTTAGGAAATGCGCCGTCCAGGCCGTATGTTGTACCTCGTTGAAGGGGACGGTGGCCACTTTGCCATGCAAAAACCACATTTCTGCTCGCTTTTTCGCTCGTGTCATCGAACCGATTAAACGGTTGATATATCTCGCGTACGTGCTTTTCTGTGATGCCGATGCACAGCTGCCGAAACTGCCGCGAGTTGATGGACACCCCGAAGACCTTCGACGTGGCCCTCTTGAGCACAGTAGTAAGCCTTCCCGTGGGCCACGGCTTGCTTCCTAGCGCTGCCTCCAGGCGAAATAGAAGGGGCGAGCCCGTGCCGCCCGTCCAGAGGCCTTCCCTTCCTTCCCGATGTAGCATGTCCACGAATGGCCGGATGTAGACGAGGTACTTGTAGAGAAGATGCCCAACCTGAGCTGGCAGGAAGCGAGCAACGATGAATTCACGGTTCGTGTTCCGCTTCGCTTTATGGTGACGCACCACATACACCATGGCTCGGTTGTACACGTACACACCCCGCGGACCGAATTCTCCGTTCACGCAGTAGAGGCTCAGTAGTTCCGAGCACCGAGGTTTCTGCCCTCCAGTAGCGTCCAGGCAACCCAGCAAGGCCGCTCGAAAGGCGTCCTCTCTGCGGAAGTATCGGAAGATCGCAGGCCAATTCCAGCCCCCTTCGCGATACAGTTTGCTTAGGTGCGAACTGCATGCCCTTTCGCAAAGCTGGAGATATGCTCGTTGGAGGTTATTCCGGGGGTGTGAAACGAATGAGAACCCATTTTCATCATTCGTCATGTCATCTTTGACCAACGATAAATCGACAGGTGGTTCCCACCGAAACATAAGCTCGCTGCACAGCGTCTCGGCTTCCGAAATGAAATGGTCACACAGGCGCCTAAATTTGGCCATGGTAACGTCGACTTCACCATCGAGTGAAACGCTCTGTCCGTCGTCGCTCCATCGTAGTAGGAAGGGAGGCGTGTCCGATCGAGCCATTACGCGGCCAAAGTTGCGGAGACTGACCAGCTCCTCAAATGGCGACTGTGAACCCATGACCATGTATCGCTTCCGTATTGGCTCCAGTCGTTCCAGCTGGTTCGTACGGGGTCTCCGCGAGATACCCAGCAGAGGGTATGAGCGCAGGGGCAGGGCATTCTCGAGGAACAAGAGTCTGAGGTTGTATATCAATACGGAAAGATGAGTTGTATAAGATCGAGCAGGCACGAAAGTTTGCGACTGGGGTTTTAGTCCAAGAATGCCACTGAAGTAAACGAGCACCGTTGAGTTTGGCTTTCCGTCCATGAGGGGTTGGGTTCCCAGCGACAAGCATAAGCCGAGAAGGAGCTCCAGAACCCTGTCAGGGGGCTCTTCGTCAGCGCTTGCCTCATCCTCGGGCGAGCTTTCTTCGTCCGACGAGCTCCAACGCGACGCATCAAAGTGTGTCTTCATACCAACATCGTCTCTGCGGTCAGCGTCTCTGTCGTCATCCTCATCCGACTCATCCGTGTCGCTGGCGCCATCCGTCTCGTCTGTCTCGTCCGCCTCATCTGGTTCGTCGTCCACGTCGCTGTCAGATATTGCAAAATGGCCCTCTTCCGGCTCACCCGCGCCTCGTTGGTCGGAACGCTCTTCTTCCTCGGCATCGCGACAAGGTCCCTTGCGACGCAGAGATTCTTCGCGTTGCACGAGGAGAACGACGGCCGTGTCGCTCCATATGGACTCCGTGTAGCTCATGTGCTTCTTCTTCAACCTGATCCCAGTAGCTCTTTGTCGGACGTCAGGCGCCATGCGGTACGCTCGGAAGGCCATGGCGAGGCACTTCTTCAGCAGGGTTCTGTACTTGATCGTGCTTGCGTGTTGGCGGACGAGTGTGAACGGTTTGGAGTAAGGCGTCAGAGCACGGGTGCTACGGAGCCAACAGAGTATGCTACGGCTCGTTTTACGAGCCGTCTCCTCACATCGGTCCATCAGCACGTCGACAAGACCCAGTATCACGGCAATCTTTTGCTCGTCTTCAAACGGGCTAACCAGATCGTCGCGAAGGCCACATAGTCCCCGTAGCCCTAGAACACGGTCGTCTTTCCTAGAGCAAACGGGCAATGCAATAAGGGAGGGAAGCACGTGCCGATGGCAGCGGTCTCGATATACTTCGTCCCAGCCTGTCCTTTCGATCCAAGGCCGCTGTTCAGCGAAGGTCGGCCGATGGCATCCTGAAGTTTCTGTGTCCTGGTAATCCACCATATCAACGCCGCGTTCCTGTTCCCGCTCGTGGACGGATTGCAGGTGCTCTCGAACACCTTTGCGGTGGACCGATCGGATCAGGTTGCCCTCGCGCTCGATGATCCAGTACTTTCGAGACGGGCCTGTAGTCCAAGTCTGCAGGAACACATACTCGAATAAGGCGTCGGCTGCGCGACGGTTGTGCGCCGTGCCGTAGGCGGGGCAGTGGCTACTCCCAGCATCAGAGAAATGGCGTCTCATGTACTGGAGACTTATCGTTCTGTAGCAGCATTTGCGACAGGCGAAGCCGTCGTAGACGCGTAACAGACCATGTTCTGGCGAGCCGTCCGGAAGGGGCGCTGCCTCGTCCGGCTCGCGGAGTGCCGGCCCGGGCAATGCCTTCAGAAACGACGTTAGACCTTTCCTGGCCCCCTCGGGTATGCCATGTTTGTCCCGTAGGTGTGTCGTCACTCGCGACTCCTTGACAGAAAGTGCGTGCTGGCACTCCGTATGAGTGCAAATGAGAACGTTCGCGGTAGAGTCTTTGCACAAGCCCAAATTGGCTAAAAAGTTAGGATTGGCCATCGCAGCCGGGCCAGACGGCGTGTCAAGTTATCATCAACGGCGCTGCAGACGTGGTTGAGGAAGTGGCGGAAGGGCTCTGGCGCGAGCAGATGTCCAATGCAAGTGGCCGGTGGGCGGGTAGGCGAAAAGTTCAGGCAACTTGTCCGGCGTACGGGGCCAGTCGGCATGATAAGGACGCATCATCTTTCCCAGTTGGTCGTCGAGGCAATCGTGGCTATGGGAAATGGCAACGGCCACCCCCATATGACCGGGGGCCTTGCAACCAGCTGAAGGCAGGTGAGCGCCAGAGGTCAAGAAGACTAGTCGGCTGGCCAGTCGGATGCGGGCCGAGAGTCGGCGAGGACAGGAATGGCAAGGAACGGCGTGGGCAATTTGGTCGGGGAAGGGATGTGCCGCGTGCACGGACGAAAAACCGTGTTGTTGGATGAAGGAACAGAGGGACACGGCGTCGTGCACGGACCAGTTTCTGTGTCATTTACTAAATAACAGACACGACTGGCTACAGTAGTAGTAGTAGTAGTAGTAGTAGTGTTGAGGCCCTATCGGGACTTCCCTCCGGGCGTAATAAATCCATGCCATGCCATGCCATGCCATATCGTACCCCGTAACGCGGGCCCCTAGCAAAATGGTTCGGCCCGTCTAGCAATTGCCTCAAAAAATGAACCAAACAAGGCAAAAACCTACAAAAAAGAAACGGGGACCTCCCTGTCCCCGTTGGCTGTCTATGCGTATCTCATGCTTCGCTGTCGGTTCAACCACCTCTCCCTGTCGATCACGAGGGGAGGCGGGTAGGAGTAAAAGCTTTGAGGAGGGCCCTGGCCGCCTTGAAGGGCGCTAGACGACTGTGTCCATTGCTGGTTCTGGTTCCACTGCTGGGCCCTGCAGTTTGGCCCGCCGGCATTGTACGAGGGCCAGTTGCTCATCTTGGGCGGCTTAGGCTGCTTTCCGTGGTGCGAACATTTCCGGATCGCGCTCACAACGCAGCTGAGGATGGCGATCAGGATGAGGCCACCAACAACAGAGACGACGGAGATGAACATGGCCTTGTGGTTCTGGATCCAGTCGCCAATCTCCTTGGCCGTCGACGCGCCTCTGCACGACCCGTTGGAGCACTTCCCTCCGGCGCCACAGTCCGTCCCGTCAAGGAAATTCCGGTTGTAGGTGACGCACTGGTCAGGCCCCATCTCTGGAGACGTGCAGGCGAGCAGACAGCCACTTTCCGGGCAGGCCGACGTGTTGCTCATGCCTGAGTGGCTGCTGGCCATGTTCTTGCACTGCTGATCACGCGACGTGCACTGCCCAGACGCACACTGGAGGCCGCTCCCACAGGAGTCGCCGTCGCTCTTGTGCTTGTCCTCCGGGCAGCTGGCGTGACTGCCCGGGCAGACTTCCTCGACATCGCAGACGCCGGTGCTGGGGCGGCAAACGGTGCCGTTGGACGCAAACTGGCACTGGTCTGTGCAGCAGTCCTCGTTACTCGCGTCGCAGACGGCGCCGTTGAGGAACTTGCACGTCTGGGGGTTGCAGCATTTGCTGTTCTTGCATCCATCCTCGCCGCCACAATCGCAATCCTCGCCGTTCTCCACGATGCCGTTGCCACACCGGCTGCCCGCGATGATCTTAACGTTCTTGTTGTCCGTAAGGCAGTTGCCCTTGATCATGTTGGACTTGAGCCTGGAGCAGATGTTGCCGATGCTGCACGCTGAGAATTGGGTGATGCCGCTGCCTGTCGACGGATTCATGATGAACTTGCCTCTCGCGTCGCAGCTGGTCCGGCTCAGGGGGCAGCACCGAGGCCTCGACATGTCTGCTGGGCAGGTGGAGCTCGTGCAGTCATGGATTGCTCCAAAGGTGTGACCTGTCTCGTGGGCAAAGATCTGCCACTCGGTATCCGTCCGAACGACCACGTTGGTCGCGGCGACCGTCTCGTTCCCCTTGCCGTTGCTGTTATCGCCAGAACCTGTACGACACAGCTGTCCGCTCCACGCTAGACCGACAGTCGACCCAGTGGCACACTTGGTGAGCAAGGACCAGTAGGCGTTGTCGTCCTTGAACTGGCCGCGCCACCTGGAGAAGGTATTGAGGCGATCGCTGATAGTCGTCTGCGGCGCACATGCGACGTTCCACGGCGTCGCGGGCGCCGCCGTGGCGGGACAATTCTTGCCGAGAATGGTAAGGTTCTGGATGCCCAGTGATATCTTGAAGGTGCTCTCGTACACCTCGGATGCCTTGTTCACCATGCCGATGACGTTCTTGGTGAGGGCCTCTTTGTTGTCGAAGCCATCCCAGTAGTTGCAGTCCGTGGCGATGCCGACGAGAGCGACCTTTCTCGTGGTTGGACATCCATCGACGGAGCCAATCGACTTCAAGAGATTCAAGCCGGAGCCGCTGTCGCCACCGCCATCAATGGATTGACGACCGAACAAGGACCGGAAATCGACGCCGGGTAGTGTGTTGTGGCTCAGTGACTCGGTTTGGAACTTGCTGTTGAACTTGAGTGTGTCGGCGTTGCAGAGAGGTTCGTCGCCATCACTCCGCTTCAGCTCGTTGTGCTCGTCGGAAAAGTTCACAACGTCCGAGTCACGCCAGACTACCATACGTTCCTCAGAGTCAGCCTGGTGTTGGACAACAGGGTCATCGTCGCCCCGGAGCTTCTGATACTGGTCAGCGGTCTGGATGTGGTGATTGTCGCCGTCGATGCGGAATGCACCGTCAAAGACGGGGTGCTCTCCGTCGCGATGAATCGTCACTCGCGCCCACCCGGCTTTGGACCAGCCGCCGTGGCTGGGCCGCTCGATAAAGGCATCGCCGCGGTAAACACGGTGCTCTGTCCGCGGCACCTTTTGCACGTCACGCACGGTGCCGTCCTCGCCCATGAGGGTGATGGCAAAGTCATCGTGCAAGATGTCGTCGTTGGGGTCGAGGGCCAGCCGTATACTTTGCCGTCCATCATGAAGAGTGAATGTGAGGTCGAATTTGGAAAGGTAGTGAGCGCGGTGAGAAGGGGTCTTGATGACCGGGTCATCGACGAGGGAGAGGTAGCCGATGGGATTTCGCTTGACGGAGAATGCTGAGCACGGGGGCGGTCAGTTGTGATGCTGCGCCGAGACGAAGCCGCAGCCACATGCGGGAGGCACG